CCTCTCAAGTGTTGAAATCAACAGCACTAGAGACTCACACTCATTTTCCCTCAACCCTCTTCTAAAACCAAAATCCCAAGAGATCCCTGACTCTGAAAGCACACCAAACCTACACCACTGGTTTTGAATCACCCTCTACCAATATATTCCTGTATTTAAAAGATCTGCCCAATATTAAATCATGCAAAACTGCTAATAATTCCACCTTTGTGGAATAACCGTGCCCAATAGGCATTGAATAAAGTGCTATTATATCTCCATTGCAGCTCCTAAACACTCTTCCAATCCTCGAGTTCCCAGGCTTGCCCAAGCTGCATCCTTCAAAGTTCATCTTAATTAGAGTTTGTGTAGGTGGTAGCCAATTTTTTTTTTTATCGATGAAACTTAGATTATATTAAAAAAATGTGAAAAAACATTATAAGTTTAATTTAATGACCATAACATCAGCCCAACAACCAACACTTGTTACAAAGATGGCCAAAACAATTGCTGCCTATCTACCCCTTGTTTAGCGTGGGAGTCAGCTACCCCATTTGCTGCACTTCTTCTAACCCATTTAAATTCAGCATTCAGCTCTCTTGCTATTTCCTTGAAAGCATTCTTGAGAGTCCATGGAATATGTCTGTTATTTCTTGCCCAAGAGATGATTACTTTGGAATCCCCTTCCACCTCCACTTGTCTGAGGCCCAATTGCTTAGCTATCCTGAGACCTTGTAGTAAAGCCAATAATTCAGTTTTAATGGAGTTAGCCACACCAATTGGCCCGGAGAAAAGGGCCATCAAAATTCAGCTTAACTTTACTACCTTGTAGGGGTCTCCAATCCATTTTTATGCTGTATTTGTTTCTAGAGGATTGTGCTATCTCCTTCCAAGCTCTTAGAATATCAGTCACTGTGAAACTCTGAAAGCACTCCATGTTTTTAGTCCAGAGTACAACCTTCACGTTTTTTTTTTGATAGATACAACCTTCACTTTTATTGTCTCAATAACGTCCTCCACAGATCTACTTTTGCCATTAAAAATTCTGTTGTTCCTTTCAGTTGAAAAACAATTCACTTGATGTATGGAACTATTAGAGATTAGAGGCAAAACAAAAACTAAACAAACAAGAGAAGAAGAGAAGAGAGAGAGAGAGAGCTGGCGGCAATGAGTGTTAGAGAGTGAGAGTTTCGAACTTAACCTCACTTCTAACACTCTAAACATTTTATTAAGGTGTTAATCTTTGATAAATTAYAGAGAGGCCCTTGAGGGGGCAGAAAAATACAAAAAACAGAACATTACAGAGTATGGGCCCAGAATAAGGCCCATAACAAAGAGAAACATAACATAACAGGAAATGACAGTCTATGGGCCATTCGGCCCATCTCCTCTACACTTTCCTCCCAGACCACCCAAACAGTTGCAGCCTTAGTAACTGTCCACATCAACCTTCCTCTTTTCTTTGATTGCCTTAGGAAGTTAGGCCTGAAAATGTCCGCCACCTCTCAAATCTCCATGTGAATGATTTTTTGGCCCTACTTTATTATTATTGTTATTATTATTATTATTCTTGTTATTATTATTTTGTAGGAAAGGAAAATGGAGTTATATCAGGCAATTGTCAAAATGGAGCAAGGTGGCAGTGCAGATGGTATTCTTCAGGTAATTTAAAGATGATCAATCAGTTTAAAGTGCATGGGAACTTGCCTAAGTCCAGGTTTTTTGCTACCTTGTAAAGGTTCGTGCTGATCACATCCAATCAGACCTAGATGAGCTGGTGAAATCTCTGAATGAACGTTGCAAGAAATATGGATTACATGTTAAGCCAACTTCACTTGTCGAGCTTCCTTTTGGTAATTTCACCACCATATTGTTTCTTTGTTATAATTCATCCATCTACTTGTTTTAATCGGCTGTCTGGATCACAACTTTTTTTTGGCTTCATTTAGTCTCTATATATTCTTCTTTTCTCCAACTAAAGTCTGTAACATGTATGTGGACAACCAGGCAAACATAAGAGATATGGTTATGAACCTTAGCATATTTCGTTTCTTGCCATCATGCAATCTCTATGCAGTTGGAATCATTGATCCAAGTGTTGGAGATTGTTTGAACTTTGTATTTCATTTTGTGCATAATTATGAATTCTAAAACTTGGATCTTGCTTTATTGCCATTTCTACTGTAGGACCATGCATGTGCAAATAATAGAGTTTGTATTTGTAAAGAGGATAGTTCTGAGGATATGTGAGGTATATGTACTAGTAAAGGCTGATATGTTTGATGTTTGAATCATCATCATCCAAGCCTTATCACAACTATATGGGGTTGGCTACACGAATCTTGTTTCATCAATCCATTCTATTTAATGACATATCCACTGTAAAATTAATAGTCCTTAAATCATTTCTTACTACTAACCAGGTACTTTTTGGTCTACCCCTAGCCCTTCAAGCCCTTTCAACTTGTAACAAATCATTTCTTCTAGCCCCTGATTTGTACTGCTATTATTATTAAATTTACATATCACATTTCCATTGAGCTTCTTGTATATTCCCATTGTACAGGTCCTCATTGTACATGAGTTCTTCCTTTTCCTAATACGCTACTTTACCTTCTTAAAAAAATCACATATTCTGTTATAGGCCTACTTATTTTTAAACCTCTCTTTTCTAGGGTACTTGTCCATAAACTTAATTTTGCATTTAATCCTTCTTTAGCTTCATCAATTAAAACAACGTCACAGCATATAACCTTCACCATAGGACCTTCTCCTGAATATGTTTGGTCAATTTATCTATGATCAATGCAAATAAATAAGGGATAAGTGCTCAACCTTGGTGAAAACCCTTCATAGTTGTAAAATCTGATGTCTCTACGACATGTATTCTACATACCTATTTGAAACCCCTTTCTTTTCCAACATCCACCATGTTATCTTTCTTGGGGCTCTATTGTATATGCTTTCTCTATATTAATGAACACCACATAATGATCTATCTTTTTTTTTCCTCTAAACTTTTCTCTCCCAGAGATTAGAGAGAAAAGTTCTATAGTGTGGCTCATGTGTTTAAACCCTTGGTAGTTATTACCACTTTGTATATTTCCTTTATTCTTAAATAAAGGCACCATATTACTCTTTCTCCATTCTTTAGGAATCTTCTTTTCTTTCATTATTTTATTAAATAGCTTAGTTAGCTATAATAAGTCTGCCTCTCCCATACCTTTCCGGCTTTCCACACTTCTATTGGAATACTTCAGGTCCTAATGCCTTTCCCTTGATATTATTAACCCCTTTTTCACTTCAGTTGTTCTAATTTTACGAAGGTACATGTTATTTTTAACACTGAGTATTCTAATCTCTCATCCATTAGTGCTCTCTATTTGTTCATTTAATAATTTCCAAAATATTTTTTTTTTGAAAAAGACGGTAACTTTATTAATGAACTAGAGGGTACATAAGAAGATGTACACAGAAATTACAACTCAAGTGTTAAGTAGGAAGAGAACTATCAGTTAACAAGACATCCCTGTGAGCACCAGCTTTTGCTAGACCATCCGCATCTGTGTTTAGCTCCCTAGGGATCCAACCCAGCTGTGCATTTAGGTTGAGAAAGATATTCCTTGCTTCAGCCAAGAAATGAGCTAAAGCCCATGGACCACTGCCAGAGTCAGCTAGCCACTTGATGGTATTTGCTGAATCTCCTTTTATGGTGATGTTCTGAAAGCCCAAATCCTGATTCCAGTTAGTGCTGCCATAATTTCAGCCTTTGTTGAAGAGGCTATCCCTATCGGTCCACTAAAAGCCCAAATAACTGTGCCATCTCTTCTTCTAAAAATTCCATCGATTCCTGCTGCACCTGGGTTTCCAAACGCACTTCCATCAAAGTACAAGGTTGTTTCCAAAATATTTTTTCATCTTTCCTTGCATCTTTTACCAAGATTCTTTGATTGGTATTCATCTAACATGGTTTAAATCTGTCTTTATTTAATAATTTCTTATCATCTTTTCTAGTTTATAAATTCGTTTTTCTCCCTCTTTAGTGCCTAATTTATGATAGAGCTCATCATATGCCTTAAGTTTAACTTTGCTTAATTTTTGTTTAACTTCTTTTCTTATGGCTTTATATTTTTCTAAGTTTTCTCCATTTTTAGTCTTTTTTATCAACAAGAAAAGGTTAATTTTGTTAGTATGTGAAAAAAACAAGTTACAAAAGATTGGGTGTCCAGTCACCCAAAATGAAGAAGTCTAAAAAGCAATGCCCAATAACAGAATTACAATAAAGCCCAAGATAAATCTGCCTATAAAGTATAGACCTCTTGTTTAGCTAATGCGTCGGTCATCCCATTTGCAATCCTTCTTGTCCAAGCAAAAGTGGCATTCAGGTCCCTTTTCAGGCTTTCTATTTCCCTTAGAGCATGTCTATAAATCCAAGGTACATTACACCTAGTGGTAGTCCAGGATACAACCAGTTTTGAATCCTCTTCAACCTCCAAGTTTTTGAAGTTTGATTGCTTGGCAAATCTTATAGCAGTGTTATCAGTTCAGCCTTTAGTGAATCCCCTACCCCTATAACTACCAAAGGCATAGCCATCACATTGCTTGTGTAATCTCTAAACACACCACCAATACTTGCCATTCCCGAGTTTCCATAGAGCTCCAATTTTAGTCTTTTGCCAATCTTTATAACATGCTTGATTTGATATGAATATATTTTGATCCTCTTCATTCCACCACCAAGTTTTTTTAGCACCTTTTCATTTCCCTTTAGATTCTCCTAAAACATCCTTTTCAGCTTTCTTTATGTAGTTGCCATTTCAAGCCACATAGCATTAGACTTTTCACCTTTAAATTTCAACTTTCTTCTACTATCAACCGGTCTGTAAATTGTGCTAGTTTTTCTCCTCTTAGATTAGCCCACCTAATTCTTGGACACTTTATTTTTCTTCCCTAATTTTCTTCTATTTCCTATTGTTCACATCTGCCACCACCAATCTATGTTGTGTGGTTAAGCTTTCCCCAAGAATAACTTTGCAATCCTTACACATCATTCTTTCTATTGTTCTAGTAAGGAAAAATTTTATTTGATTTATGTTTGATCAACTTACTAATTTTATTAAGCGATTATCCTTCTTTTTTGAAAAGTGTGTTTAAAATTTCCATATTATATGCTATTGCAAATTCTAGTATGTATCTCATGTTTCCTCCTCTCCTCAAACCCATAACCACCATGCACCATATCATATCAAACACTTCTTTAACCTACATGTTCATTTTGGTCTCCCCTTATAAAAATCTTCTTTTCATTTGGTATTTCTTGGATTAATCCTTCTAGGTTTTCCCAAAATTGTCTTTTAATGTTTTTTTAAGACTCACTTGATGTGTATAAGCACTAATTTTGCTAATGATTTCCTCCCTTACGTCTAATTATAATGTTTCCTCCTCTCCTCAAACCCATAACCTCCATGCACCATATCATATCAAACACTTCTTTAACCTACATGTTCATTTTGGTCTCCCCTTATAAAAATCTTCTTTTCATTTGGTATTTCTTGGATTAATCCTTCTAGGTTTTCCCAAAATTGTCTTTTAATGTTTTTTTAAGACTCACTTGATGTGTATAAGCACTAATTTTGCTAATGATTTCCTCCCTTAAGTCTAATTATAATCATTCTATCTCCAATTATTTTAGCATTTACAATGTCATTTTTCATATCCTTATCTGCTACTGTTGTTGTTACTCCATTTCTATTATTTGCTTCTCCTGTGTACCATAATTTATAACCATCAATTTCTTTAGCTTTTTTACCCTTCCATTTAGTTCCTTGTAAGCATGCAATATTAAACCTTCTCTTCACAGTGTTTACTAAAGTGGTACAAACAGATACACACAAAGAAGCAGGGAGAATGGAATGGAAACCTGGTAGGACCAAATAAGCTGAAACTAAATTTTGATGGGAGCTCTTTTGGCAATCTGGGGAAGGCAGGTAGGGGGGTTTAGAAACCATCAAGGAGTAGTAGCGGCCTTATTCTAAGGGCCAATTGATTTTGGGGACATGGGTAAGGCTGAAATAATGGCCCTATTACAAGAACTAAAACTAGCAATACAGCTGGGTGTTAGAGAGCTTGAAGTAGAAGGAGAGACTCCTTATTGGTCATTTCTTGGGTGAAACAAAGTCAAGTCAGCCCCTTGGAAATATGGATTTGCCTTTAGGGAAATCGACTTTTGTGCAAAAATTTGTAACTCTAGTTTTGGTAGGGGTGCAAATGGATTGGATATTGATTCCATCCAATCCAAACTGATCCTATTTTGTCAGATTTTCGGATCGAATCGGATAATCAGAACCAATTGGAAATCAGATTGGATTTGGATCACCCCCTATCCGATCCAAAAGGATACAATCCGACCAATATATGTGTATATTTATAAACACATTTACTTATAAAAAGATATGTGTATATTAATATATTTATTTATAAATAATTTATCAAAAAAATATTTATTTATAAATATGTTTTTATTGCACTTTTTGTAATTTTTTTTTTATAAAAGGACATGCATATATTAATATATATGATGAAAATAGTTGAAAAAAATACTTACATTTTTTTGTTTTTCTCTATAAATTTTTATGTTTTTTTTTTCTTTTAATAAGTTATTAAAATTTTCATAATTTGAATCGGATCGGATTATATTTGGATATCCGACATCCCTAACGGATTCAGATTTGAATCATTGTTTGTGAGATCTGATCCGATCGGATCTCGGATTTGTGCTATCGGATTGGATTTGGATATACCCTGATTCGAATTTGATCTCATCTGTTTGCATCCCTAAGTTTTGGTTGGGTAAAAAGAACAACAAATGGGTTGGTAGATATTGTAGCAAAACAGGGAGCTAACAGATCCACATTATTTTGGGCAATGTTGTAATTTGTGATAGTAAAAAAGGGGAGATGGCAAACCAAAATAGGGTGGGCAAGCTGCTTTTTTTGTTGAGTTTTGGGCCACTGTATAGCTAAAATTTTGTATCTTTCTCAAACATTAATTAATGAACTCATTATGCTGATAAAAAATATATTTCTCTATTTCTTTTCTTTTTGATACAATGAAGATTTCCTTCTCATTCCTTTCTTCACAATAAACTGTAGTCAATCAGACAAAATCTTGACTATAGACAGCCTTAATCTTCTAGATTTTGTATATGAGAAGGAAACTGTAGTCAGTCAAATAGTCAATTTAACTGTAGACAGTTTTTTACCCCTGTTCTTCATTTCCATTTGAAGGGAACCATAATCAGCCATTGGGAATAAGACTGTAGATGGTTTAATCCCTAACCTGTCTTGATAGAGGGACCATAATCAACCAAGTAAAAATACCTGGTTGTAGAAGGTTTCTTTCCCTCTATTTCCTTTAGAAGTAAAACAAAAGAGAGAGAAGGATATATAGCAGAAGACACATATAGGAAGTATTTACAGAAAGAACTTTATTTTTACCAACCTGTATTAGTGAGATTTCTTTTTCTCTTCCCTGTCTTCCCCTAAGAACTTCTCTTTTCTTCTCTTTATCTTGGCTTTTATTAGGAACCTCTAAGAGTGGTATGCTCTGAGACATAATTTTCTCCGAAGAGGATTTCTAGTTTCCCTTTAAGGAACTTAAATAGGGAGTGAGGTAGTTATGCAATTACCCCCTCCCCTAAGATGAATGGCACCCGGCCTCCCCACTTAAAGAGAGGGAACTCCCGTACAGGACACCTTATTTGGTTTTGATGATTTAGCTAGCACACTAGTCAACCCACTTATTTGGGTTATAAACTATAAAAGAAATTCCTTCAACAGTATTACACTTGTACTTCTCCCAAATTGTTATGTCATACTTATAGATTTGTATTTCATTTTAGGTTTCACCTTTCTTTATTCGATTGTTCTTCATATTAGTTATATCTCTAACATTTCTTTTTCTTTTATTGACCTCCTTTAAGGCTGGCAACCTGGCATCCAAGAGGGCGCAGCTGATTGGGATGAAGATTGGGATAAGTTTGGAGATGAAGGTAATATGTGATCCTTGGCATGTGCAACATGTAGTCCATGATGCAAAGTGGAAACCTTGGGATTTTATATTTTGTTTATTTTAGCTGATGCTTCCTTTCCTATTTTGGACAAATATCAACATGGGCCACCGTTGTCTAGATTCTAGAATATGTACTGCCTCAATAAACTTTTGTATATATATTTGCAATCTGTTTAATTAATAATTCTGTTACATAATTTATACTTTCAGGATTCACTTTTGTCAAAGAGCTCACTCTTGATGTGCAAAATGCCATAGCCCCACCAAAACCAAAATCAACATCAGTTAGGAAAGAAAAAGTTTCCACAGATGAAGAACCAACGACAAGTTCACCACCGAAAGCTTCCACAGATGAAGGTCTAACCACAGATTCACCACCGAAAGCTTCAACAGATGAAGGTCTAACCACAGCTTCACCACCTAATGTTGATATAAAGTCAGAGAAGCCTACAAACGTAGGAGAACGGGCCTCTGAGATTGGATCAACTTATGCTCAGAGTGAAGATGGTTCAGCAAGAAGCCCGCTTGGTAGCCCTGCAGGAAGGAGTGCACTTGAGAGTCAATCTCAAGAATTTCCAGATATTCATTCTGGAAGGAACTTTGGGGCAGATGCTTCACCCCGTGCTAAAGAATACCAGAGGTATGGCTATTACTTGATAATGGTATCTTGTAATCTTTCTTTCTTGCTATGATATTTGAGGCACTTCTCTCCAGTCATATTGATATCTGGTAGACCTATACATATTGGCACTAGATAGAAGGTTGCACACATGTGGACATGCTATCTTTATTCACTTCTAAGATGTGTAAAGATATCTATGACTTGCATATTTTGCTACTCAATATGCTTAGTCTTATTCTTTGTTGATTACACATTTCACATGGAAAGTTGAACAGATATATTACTGATATTTTGCAACTTTTGTGGTAGAAGAGTTTGCAATTAAAATGTTAATGGAGTTAGAAGAAAGTGGAAGAGGTAGAGTAGAATAATATCACAGTTGGGAGAGGTTTAAGTGAAGTTTTGTCATGGGGCTTGGAGAGTTTGGAGATTCACTTAGATTTTGGCTGGAGCTTAGAGAGCTTGGAGATGTTTTTCAAAGTGAGATTAATTGAGAATTTGATGTACCTAAGTAGAAGAGGTGTGTTTGATTTGCTGAAGTGAATTTTTTGTAGTGAATAGGTAATTAATGCATTGACAGATGAATTGGGAATTGGGATGGCCTGGGTTTTTAGTTTATTCTGTCCATTCATGGTCATAGATTTCTTGTATTGGTTTTTCCAATGGGATTATTGGGGTTGAATGAGTGGTTTTTATTTGTTTTGGGGTGTGGGTAAAGACATTTATCTTTTCCTTTTCTTGAGTGATATCTTATCACCAGGCTATTGTAATCCATTTTTTTTTCTTTTTAAAGAATCTTTTTTTACTATCAAATAACTTGGGATATTAGATTATTAGGGTGAATTACCTAGATAATCTGAGTTCATGTTGATTTCCTTTGCAGTGATCATGGTGGTGGCGAATCTGTGATTTCTGGGGACAAAAGTTATGATGAACCTATGTGGGGAACCTTTGACACAAATGATGATGACTCAGTATGGAACTTTAACAAGGTAAGTCTACACTTCCGGATTTACATTGCAAAACAATTCAGCATGGAGATAATGATTTATTAGATAATGAGACTGTTGACATCTTATGTTATTTATTCTGAAACCAGACTTTATTCTGAAACGGAATCTTGATTCTCTTTCTTCATCTACATTTTTCCCGCTATTATTTGTTTAGTTATACACCTCAACATGCATCCACTACCAATCAAACTACCATACATGGACATGCATGGACTGATGTACATTTTCATTTTTAGTGATAAAACTTCTTAATTAGGAAAGGATTAAAGTATGAATAATTTTATTAAGCCACCAACCATAACATCTAGAAGAGGGGTGAAAGTGAAACTTTGTATTGTGAGTGAAACTGTGCTGGATTAGTACAACTGTGTCAGCTTTCATGATTTTTGCTGATGTTTCCATGATGGGTTTCTTTTTTGTTTACATTACTGTAAAGGTTAAGGTCTTTTTTTGATAGTAAAAGCAAAATTTTCATTAAAGAAGAAAATAGTACAATCTAATCAGGTGTTAAGGCAATACCTACCAACAAATAAGAAAAGAAGATACAACTCAAAATATGCCATCCAAGTTATAAATTGGCTTCCCCTAAAAATCCCCAAGCTCCATTTGTTGACTTGTGCAAATTCTGGCAGCACCAAATTCCAGACTGAAACTGATTTACCAACAACCACCACCATCCTATCCAAGCTCCATGCCTTGTCTTTAAATGCTCATCTGTTTCTATCCTTCGATACATTCCAGCAAATAGCGAAAGGTTAGCAACTCCAAATCAACTTACAAATGAAACCTCTCTTCCTAGACCTTTTCATTTCCTCCACACACTCATTTGCAATTAAGATCTGATATGTTATTTGTCGCCCTTGAATGAAAGCCCACTGGGTTTCACTAATGATAGAAGGGAGGACTGTTTTGATCCTCAATGAGAGGACTTTAGGCAGAATTTTATAGATGCTTGTCACCATACTAATAGGCCTATAATCTTTTGGGTGGTTGGAATCATTCTTCTTAGGTATCAAGGCCAAAAAGGTGGCATTGATTCCAGGGCTTATAATGTGATTGTCTGCAAATTCGTTAAAGACTTCAACTAAATCCTCTTTCAACACCTCCCAACAGTCTTGATAAAAACCCATTGTAAAGCCATCTGGACCTGGAGTCTTGGATCTATCCATTAGAAAGACGGCTTTCTTAATCTCTTCTTCCTCAAAATCCCCTTGATCACTCTTTCAACACCTCACCATCTTCTTTCTCCCCTTGATCACTCTTCGAACTCCTGTCCGCCTCCAACCTCTCCTCTGGTCTGAAATCCAAACCCTCTCCAACTCAAGCTCCTCCCATCCCCTCCTTTCCCATATCTGCACCTATTTCTTCATTATCTGCTTTCAAAATCTCTTCCTCCATCCTTAGATAGGTACCATCTTCTCCTTTGACTATGATTCTCCATCTATACTTTTCCCCTGCAAATTTAAGCTCCAACTTATTTGGAATACCAGAGACATTCGCCACTTCCACCAGTATTCTTGCCATTTCCAGCTTCTTCCATGTTCTATTTTTATATCGAATTTAGAAATCTCCCACAACTTCAAAGGTCAAGATGCTCCACATATGCAATGGAATTCCCACCACCCTGATGTGCACCACACGTCTTCTTCCTTTAGAAACCTCCCCTGCTGCTGTTGACACTAATCCAACCTTAAATCTAAATCTCTATCTTTTGATCTCGTTTTTTTTACCTTAACCATGTAAAGGTTAAGGTCTAATTCCCATATGTTGGATGTTTCTATTTTTCTCAGCTTTGATATTCACAAAGCTTTCTTTATCTGGTTACTTGCCTGCATAGAGAGAAAGGGATTATTAAGTTTGATTTAAATGAGAAAGATATATTTAGTCCTGGGATTGAGTTTTTGTGTCTTTCAAATTTATTCATTTGTGGTTTTCTTTAACACCTATTTTATAGTTTTCTTCTAAGTTTAATCATGTTACATCTTAATCTGTCACATGTATGTTCATTGTCATATATTTAGTATTTAAAATTTAAACTTATGCCATTTTATGACATATTAGTTTTCTTTCATCTATGTTTTGTAGATCATTGAGATCTGACCCTTTTAGGGGAACTTATTATTAGCAAGCTGCATACACCTTGTAATTGAAATTCCCATGTTGGGGAGGAGGGAAGTTGTTTCTGTTTGCATAGAAATGAAATCATCTCATTTTATCATGAAATGAACCTAATGCCAATCACTAGACAAATGCACTAATTTTATTTTCAATAAACTAAACTCTTAATCACATTTGATGTGACTCTGATTTAGATCTTATTACATCAATCTGCATACATGTTCTGGTGCTCATGCTTGCACTGCACAATTTCTTGAAATATCTAAGAGACTGATAGGCATTCTTTCTACCTGGATTGGTCAAGGAGGGACCTACTACCACTGATCCATCCCATTTTATCACTTATTGAGAAAGGGGTATGGGTATCCAATCCACCTCTCCCAAGACCCCGGATAGCTGGGACCAACATTGGTTAATGGCCTTTTACATTTTTGAAGAGTATGTAGTCAGTAGTCATTGATAAAAAACGACTGCACAGGAGAAATTGTACATAAAATACAGAAAAAGACAATTAACTCCATTTTTCATGAATAAAAATAGCTAGGCATCAAGCTAATACTATACAAAAAAACCGTTCCCACACCACAGCTGTTTGGATTAGCTCCTTTGGAACTGTTCTTTTTTGGGTAGGAAAGGTTGAGATGTCTGAAGTTATCTTCAGGTAGGGGGCAGCTCTCAAAGCCTTTGCCCAACCCTCTGCTTCTACTAATGGAATTAGTTAAATCCCCCTAAATGGTAAGCTAAATAAACCCAGGTCTCTTAGCAATCAGAACCTGGTGAGGGCAAGATCTCAGCTATTTTTAAGGTGACTTCCTCCAATAGGTCCACTATATATGTAAGTAATGCTTGCGTTAGATGTGATAAGAATGCCTCCCACCTTGGTTGGCCTTGGGTTTTTGAAAGAGCTCTCCTCAAATTGTAGTCTGATAAGATTTTAGTTTTGATTCAAGGGAGGGGGAGTACTTATAGAGAGAAGATGCCCTAGAGAAGATTAACAGATGTTATATATTTCCACCATTATCTTTTGCATGTCAATTGGAGATGCATTTTCTTTATTGCAAGGACCCAATAGTTAACAAGTTAACCCTTCTAAAGCTTCAAAAGAGGACACATTTCCTTCAAAGATACACTTGTTTCTCTCTTCCCACAATCCCCACATAAACCCCATAAATGATGAATTTCCAATAAATCACTTGTCAGAAAAGATTCCAATAAATCTTTTCACTCTTGCCGGGCTCAAGCCCTTTCAATAATGAATTATGTAAATCACTGTCAACACAATACCTGGTGACACCCACTCTAGACTCCAAGGCTTAAAAAGAAAGTGCCTTTGCTACCTTGTCATTATACACAGTACACAAACTGGTATGTGTTATGAGGTAAACGTTTGAATTTCTAAAGAAAAAACAATGTTTGAATTTCTTTTGGAGGATGTTACAAGTGCCCCCCCTCCCAATTATATGGGTTTGGCTACACTAATCTTGTTTCACCATTCCACTCTGTTCAGTGCTGTTTCCATTGTTAAATTGTAAGTGCTGAAATAATTTCTTACTGCTTCAACCTATGTCCTTTTCGGTCTACCCCTAGCTCTTCTAGCCTCTTCAGCTTGTATCAGATCACTTCTTACGGATTCTGTAGATGGTCTTCTATGCACATAACCAAATCATCTTAGTTTATTTTTTCTTGTATCACCTATTGGAGCTATTACTAGGTTCCATTGAATGACTTCTCTTTTGACTGTCCTTGCTAATTTTTCCTCTCATCAATCTCAACATATGCATTTTTGCCATACTCATTTTTGAACATGTTTCTTGACTTTCCAACATTCTGTACCACACAACATTGCTATCCCCCTGGATCTTCTATTTATTGCCATTTTATCATTTAGAAATGCTCTTGAATTCAATCTTCTTTTAATTTGAAGGTCTTGCACTTTTTCTCCAATTCCCACACCTGCTTTTTCTGCACTCACACTAGTTATTTGGTTTTATGTTATGTAGTTATGAGTTAGAATGCTTAGGTAAATGTAAACCAAGGAAACGATCTCATTCTACCTTTGGGTGGCCTTATGATCGTTATTATACTGGATGTTGAATATAGTTTACAGTTCTCATTGCATCTTTGCACTTGGTGTGGACTTGTACTGTAATTAAAATTACTTGATCAGTTCATGAACTCTAATTTAATGTTAGTATCCCAATTATTTTGCTGCTTACAAGGTTAAGTAGCATTTTGCTTATTCTGTGTGTTTTCCTGACGTTCTCTTTCAGGATCTAGATCAGGAGAGGCACAAAGAGGACTCTTTCTTTGGTTCCACTGACTTTGGTCTAAATCCAATTAGGACGGAGTCCCCACATGCAGATAGCATGTTCCAGAAGAAGAGCCCATTCAACTTTGGGGATTCCGTTCCTGGCACCCCACTTTTTAACTCTGTCAATTCGCCCACAAGGTACAGCGAGTCAGAGCACTCTTTTGACAACATTTCCAGGTTTGATTCCTTCAGCATGCATGACAGTGGATTTTTTGCTCCCCGTGAGAGTCTTGCAAGGTTTGACTCCATCCGCAGCACCACTGACTTCGAGCATAGAGGGGGGTTCTCATCTTTTGATGAGGCTGATCCTTTTGGTTCAACTGGACCATTTAAGATCTCATCAGAGAGTCAAACTCCAAGAAGGAGTTCTGATAATTGGAGTGCATTCTAGGCCGGGTAGTTTTGAACCCATATCTCTTCCCCATGTAGACCTTTTTGTGAGGTTTTCTTCAAGTATAGTTGCCCATTTTTTTCCTCCTTGTGTGCTATATAATAGTGATGGTGAGTGGAGAGTTGTATTGTTGTCTGGAGCTTGCCCCTTTCTGTATCTCTGCATATCTCATTCATTTTTTTCCTCGTCTTTTATTCTTCTTGAGGCTTGTAACGAATTTTTTTTTTCCTTTGTGGTGTCAACTCTTGAATAATCTTTATATCATATATTCTTCATTTCTTTTGCTTCCGGAGTTGGGAGTACGATGTCTCACATACAAATTCTTTTATTGTTGCAAATATTTGTATTTCATGCAACCAAATTCTCATTTAATTAGAGAGAGAGAGAGAGAGAGGTAATTGAGCACCACCGGGGGGGGGG